ACCTAGGCTGAGGGCCATCCCATGATGCAGAGCTTCTCTTCTCCCACCTCCCCTCTCCATTTTATTGTATTACATGTCATTAACTGTGTGTCTCCTCTCTCCCATAGTGTGAGTGTGTCTCTCTCTCTTTGTACCTTTGTGCAGGTATTCCTGACTCTGGAGCTCTGCGTTTCTGATGAGCAGTGACCGGCCACATCAACCTGCCCAGTGTTTGATTGTTTGTTGTGTCTTGTTGCTTTTCTTCTTTTGTCTCTCCTCTATCCACTCACCCCAACCGGTTGAGGCAGAAGGCCGCCCACCAAGAGGTTTCTTCCGTTAAAGGGAGTTTTTCCTCCCCACTGTCGCCAAGTGCTTGCTCAAGGGGGCTTTGTTGGGTTTTCCCTATGTAATAATAGTGATAACAGTAAGGTCTAGACCTTACTTTGTAAAGTGTCCTGAGATGACTTTTGTTGTGATTTGGTGCTATACAAATAAAATTGATTTGAAGTGAATTTCTGAGCTTTAGAGGTGCTAGTGGCCAAATTTAGCTACCTACAGAAAGAGCCATTTCCTGCTGTCTTTGTGCTAAGTTAAGTTAAATGGCTGCAAGCTGTAGCCTTTCATTTCATAAATACATATTAGAATGGTATTGATCTTCCCATCTAGCTCTTGTCTGAAATCAAAATCAGTATATTTACTAAAGTGTCAAACTATCCCTTTTAGCAGCTTATAGAAACCCTTTTGTTAAAAGTGTAACCTCTTCCTGTCCCCTCCTCTGTCTGCTATTAATCCTAACTGCATGGTGGAGAATAGGGCAATGTTCTTGGAGGCTGTGGCAGGAGTGAGGGAGTCAAGCTGCCGGACGTCAGACTTGTATGTAGACGACATGGAGGTGGGGAAAGAGGCTGCAGTGACTGAGGGCCGAGACGCCCAAAAGAAACCTCTCATGTTCAAGACCCAAACTACTAAAGACCAGGTCTGGATGTTGCTATCTGTCCCATTCTTGTTTCCTCAAATGTTGGCATTTGAGTTTAAATGATGGCTTTCAGTTTAGCCAAACCATTCCTTAGACACAGTCTGGGAAACACCCTCTTTTTCCTGTGCTGATTCAATGATGAACAATTAGTTTGTTTGTTTTTAATTTTGCTGCGTATTTGAGTGGAAATTGCACCACATGGCTTCCAATTACATCTTAAGGATTGATGGTTACTCAAACATTAAAGAAGTGGGGTTTACACATCCAACAAACATAATTATGAGATGCAGGGTAAAGAATACCACAGCAGTTGTTGTTGAGTAGTGCTCCAAACAGTCATTTCTCTAGTTCTGCACATGATATTCTGAACTTCATCTGGGAAACACCTTCTTTCCCATTTTTTCTCCAGTCAATCTGCAGCGAGTGGCAGTGACAGGACAGCTTTTCCGTGTAACGCGGCTGACAACATGACCAGAATAGCATTTGGAATATATGAATACCCATGAACATTACAGTATGTTGCCTGCTTTTATGTATGAGAACAGGTGTTTCGTCCACTTTTAGTGGGATGTCATCAGTTCATGTGAAAACATTATGCAACCATGTGACAGACATTATCTCCTGGCTGCTCTACACCAGCTATCACTCCATTCTGCTAGGAGTGTCCGCCACTGTTCAAACCGCAGCATTCCAGCCATAGCATCTTCTTCTCCACTGTCAGTAAACCCAAACAGCCAGCTTGACTCAGACCACATGGGCAACCTGTAATCAAGCTTGGCCCTGAAACTGGCATAGAAAAGTAAATCCTCTGTTTATATTTGAGAGAGGCCTCCCTCATGGAGCAACTTCCTTGATCTTGCACAGGAAATACATAAGATGATGCAGAGCTTTAAACCAATCTCTCAGATTAAAGGTCTTGACGACCACCCTCCACCTCTTCTCTATTTTCTTTGTTTGTCTCTTTCTCTTGATCTATGGCAGCCTGCCCATCTCCGGGCCCCTGTACTCTGGTGGGTTCAGTGGACTGGTATGCGGCAGGAATCTTTGGATCAAGGTGATTTCACGCTCCTCCACGTTTTCCCAGGGCTTTGGGTGCTCACTGTTACCTCTGTGCAGCCTGCAGTGTGTGATAGCGACTGACGTGTTATCCCAGGACACATTCACAAACAGCAGCAAGAGGGCAAAGCTGCTTTATCTGTCTAACACCTCTGTTTCCCTCAAGTGTTAGTGCTTTGACTGGCTGGAATGGTAGGCTGCAGAAAGACTCCCTTTGGACCAAAGCACCGACCCAGGGATTTGTCAACCTCTTCATACACAGACAAAGGCATAACCCTCGGACATGAAATCTCAATTCTAAGATGAATCCTCTCAAACATATGCCTTTGATGTAGAAATAATCTTGCTAATCTTGACATTTCCTTTAGAGACACTTCCCACTCTCACTTCACAAATCTGCTCTCGTAATAGCTCCACAATGTTCTCTTTTTTTTTCTCAATGAAACTCCATATCTCATTCAGCTCTTTAGTGGCAACTGTGTCTGAAGGGGGAAGTGTCTGAAGTCATTCCAGTGAGAAGTGGTTCAGTTCAGCTACTGTCACTCAACTAGACTAAAGTTTGCTCTAACTGCAAATATGCTTACATGTGATCAGAAGCAGCAAATGTGGGCTAGATGAATAGATTTACAGCTGCACAGAGACACACAAAACTGATCTGGCCTTCATAGATCCAAAGTGATAGGATGGAACTAGAAGGACAAAATAATAAACACTTTTAGACATCCTGGAGACACAACAAGCATTCTCTGCAGATTTGCATGCCTATCCTCATACTTTCTTTTTTTTGGCATGTGACCATGAAACAAAAACAAGGTACAGCTGAGACTGATTGGAATGTTTAGAGGTATTAGCCATAAGTAAAGTATTAGGCAAATATAAAACAAAGTCATTATAGTTCATCCTCTGAACACCTAATTTCACCTGAAACAAAATGTTTCAGTCTTTGTCCTACCAAGCTTCATACATGAGAGGGTCAGAATATTAGGAACACCTCTGAATAAAATGTACTTCATTCTCTGATTATGACTATGACATATATGGTGCAAAATTCATGGCAATCCATCTGATGATTACTAAGACATGCGTGGACTGAAAGGGTGGACCAACAGACTGACATTGCCATCTCAGGGCCATGCTGTTAGTATGACTGAAAATATAACAAACTGTGGAGGGAAATGTTTATAGCTTTAGAGTGTTAGGAGTCAAGCTGACTTGATATGTTTTATGTGCATTTAGATGTGTATGGAGGAGCCACACACACACACACACACACATAAATATTGTATTTATTTATCAATTATGAGATTTAGGATTTGAGCAGCATTCTTTCAGGGGCCCAACTAATGGTAAGATGTATTATTAGACAACTGTCAATAATGAACTGGTATTTAACTTATGGGTAACAGCAACTTTTGTTTCTAGCGTTTGCATTGTATGTCTGCTAGGAGCGCCTCGTATACTCAGGTATCCCATATTTATTCTATAACCAATACATGTATAAATTGTAAATGAGTTCCCCATAATAGTTTCTGTTATGCAATTTTTTCATAGCTTAATTACATAACGTTCTCATAATTCAGTTTTTGTTCTTCATTGTTTGAATCTAATCTAATTTTGCTACTTTTACTTTTCACTTTTATTATCTTTGTTGGTGAGATATCCTCCTTTTTTATGATTTATGTTTTAATTTGTGATAGTTAAGTAACAGTAAATACTAAATCATTACAAGAAAACATGCTTAGAAATGAGTACAACAAATTAAATTATGGTTAACATATTAGTTTTAATATTAATTTAGTTTTAGCACTGTATCAGCAGTGAAGTCCTACAAGTTTCTGGGCTCCACTATCTCCCAGGACCTGAAGTGGACGTCCAACATCAGGACCATCACCAAGAAGGAACAGCAGAGGATGTACTTCCTGTGCCAGCTCAGGAAGTTCGACCTGCCCCAGGAGCTGCTGATACAGTTCTACAGAGGAATCATTGAGTCTGTTCTCTGCACCTCCATCACTGTCTGGTTTGGCTCAGCAACCAAACAGGACAAGTACAGACTTCAGCGGACAGTCAGGACTGTAGAAAAGGTCATTGGTGTGAGCCTGCCCTCCATGGAGGACCTGTACACCTCACAGGTCAAAGGGAGGGCAGAGAGGATCACTGCTGACCCCTCACACCCTGGACACTATCTGTTTGAACTCCTCCCCCCTGGATGGCGTTACAGGTCACTGTGCACTAAGACAACCAGGCACAGAGACAGTTTCTTCCTCCGGGCTGTCGCTCTGATGAACACTTGACCCACGACAGTACGATTGGACAATAACCCTCAGTGCAATACCTGTGTATATATACATTGTACAGATTATACAGACTCCTACAGGTCTCTAGTTTTAAGTACTCTATCTTTATTCCTACTTATCCCATTTCACAAATGAGCATTCCTTGTTGGGGTTCCTGCATTGTTTACTGTTTATACTGCTTATTTTGCATTGTTTGTTGCTTATTAATACTGCTTATTTTGTTATATTACACAGCCTTATGCTGGTTTACTGTTTACTTGCCCCTTGCATGGGGATATGTACATACACATTGAGAGCTGATGTACCAGAGTCAAATTCCGGGTGTGTACGACACACCTGGCCAATAAAGCTGATTCTGATTTTATATTTATATAATGATAATAGGCTCAATCATTATATCCATTTTGCAAAAAAAATGTGCCAATTTAAGCAAATACATAACATATACAAGGCTAATTACTATGTCCTTTGTTGTTATTATACCACATTAATGACAAAAGTGGTTTGTAGTCCAAAATGCGCTGTGGAGTAGTCTTACGTCGTGGTTAGCGTGTCTGTTGTAAGAGATGGAGATGTTAAACGGAAGCAGATACAAGCCTTAATAACAGACCGGAAGCCAGGCAAACAGTTCCTAGAAGTGTAGATGTTACAAGGGAAAGGGGTTGTTCTTAGCGGGCTTTTATTTTGAAGGTCATAGCGGATGTTCCGTTTCTCTTTGAGACCACTTTGACATCGAACAGCGCAGGAAGAAGCAGCAAACCGAAAGGCAGGATCCCAGGAGCCAAGGAGCTCAGGAGCCCAGCAGTTTCAGCCTCATGTTTCGTTCAGGGCGCTTCTCTTCCTCCTGTCCGCTGTCAACAGTATTGTGACAATATATATTTTATTATTATTGTTTAGTCTAAATTAAAAGTGTGGGGAAGAGGTCATGGAGCTTTATTGCCTGGAGTCGGACATACCCGTGAAAGCTCAACCTGACCCAAACATCCTCTATGATGACAGAGTATTGCAAAGTTTATTAACAACTGAGGACAGGTTCTTGCCTCAGTGCTCGTATTTCCAGCGGGTCCAAAAGGATATTCACCCTTATATGAGACGAATGGTTGCAGGCTGGATGCACGAGGTTTGTAGGCATTTTATGCATTGATATGCTAACCTATTCCCTTTAGTTAATGACAGTTTTCTCTGTGTTGGCGTACATATATGAGCAAATGTATGTGCATACATTAGTTTTTTTTTTTTTTTTTTAAGTCCATGCACCAGTCATGGATGTTAGCATATTTGACAATTGAATGAGAATGACTCACCAAAGGCGTGGGAGAGACGGAAATTCCACCACGAAAAAGTTCAGCTTCAAAGACGTGACCTAGCTAGGTATTTACACCGTTTAACAGACATAAAGTTTGGTTGTTTTTTTGCTAATTAGCTCGTTGTAGCAAGGGGGGTAACTTCATCTTAATTTACATATTCTTATCAATTCTTAGAGTGGCTCAACCCAAAGGCAAGGCATGCGATTGAATGCAAAACCACGTTTAGTTTTAAAAATAAAACCCACTTCATATTAGCGAACTCTTCTCTTTTGAAACCGTCGGAAACTATTTTACCACAACATTTCAACATTTTGCACTCTTTGTATAGCTTCTAGATGATTTATTTTAATTTTTATTAATTTTTAAAGGGCGACAAGCCCAAACAAGGAAGAGGAGTTGAATGGCGAGGAGATTTCGCTGAACAAACTTCCTATTGAACTAATTTGTTCTTGCCTTGCCCTGAATTTGCAGCTTATGACAGAGTAAAGTGTTGTGAGAGTTAGTGAGTTATTCTTTTACGTAAAGGAAACCCTAGAATGGAAAAATACAGCCCTACAAGGAAACCCACCCTCATCTTTATCTGCTTAAAAGCATATAAACAATTTAGTGTTCTCCTTTGAATTATAACCTATGCTAACCTGTGTTTTTCTGTTATATTTACATCTCTTTTTAGGTGTGTGAAGAGGAGAAGAGTAATGAAGATGTCTTCCCTTTAGCCATTAATTATTTAGACAGATTTTTAGCTGTCATGCCCACAAAAAAGAGCTATTTGCAGCTTCTGGGAGCAGTGTGCATGTTTCTGGCCTCCAAGTTAAAAGATTGCAGGCCACTGTCTGCAGAAAAACTTTGCATGTACACAGACAACTCCATCACACCACGGGAACTGCTGGTAAGAACTGGGATTTCAAAAGCACCATTCATTCATTGATGGCAGCATAAGAGTGAATAATCCCATTTTGGGACGACTTTATAATGCTAATAGCTGAACTGGTTTCACAGGAAGTATCCCATTTTCTTTATAAGTGTAGCTGTGCACAATAGAGCCACATCCTTTCTTTGGATCCATGTGGACTGAAGAGGCATGCGATGCCATCTAGTGGCAGTTATGCAGTAGTACATGGACTTGGTTTCTTTCAGTTAGATAGAAAAGACTTTTTAAATAAATGCCAAAATTCTTATTCTTATTGGTCAACATATAGATTAGTAAATGAACTTTAATCACATTGTTTGACTTATTATATTTGAGGTGTTGTTTCCACATGCACACTTATTATGACGCTTTCTACCATATTTGGCAGTCCACATCAGCATTTTGCTTTCCAAGATTCTGAGATATTATGATCACTATCACATAGATAAGACAGAGAAAAATAGAACTGAATAGTAGATTGATTTTTGGATTAATTTTTCAAGCAAAACCGACAACACTTCTTTGCTTTCAGGCTGGTTATCTTTGTCTTAAGTAATAATAAACGGAACACCTTATAAAACTTTTTTTTTTTTACTATTTTAACATTTTGTAGACAAAGTAATGAATTGAGAAAATAGTTATTTGCAGCCCTAAAAAGGTAATGATATTTATTATAGCAATCTACTAGTGAATAGAAGTATTTCAGCTCTAGACGTTAGGGCAGTTTAAGGGTTAGACCTGCTTCTTATTTCTTTCAAGCAGCTCCACCTAATATACATCCTCCTGTGTTGAAGGAAGTGATATCTGCCTCATTTGGTGCGCCATGTTGTTGTGTAAAACTTCAGATTCCTGGATATCCTCACAGGATGCACAGAGAAAGCAGTGAGAGCCAGTTAAAGATGTCACAGCTTTTCCTTGTAATGAACCCTGTGCTACTGCTGCTCCAGCTGGAAGAGAGAAATTTAAGGGAGTGGAGGGGGGCTGTGTGTCTCAGGACAGCTGTCCAGGAAGTGAGCGCAGCAACAGCAAACCTCAGTTCTACTCATCTCAAAGTCAACAATCTTCACAGGAGATAAAATGGGTTAAAAGCAAGCATGTGTCTGGCAGGTTGTGTACAGGAAACACATGTAAATGTGAATTATGGCTGGCAGACATTTCTGGTGATGAATAAGTGTTTGGTGATGATGTTTACTACTTTTGCTTTTTCAGTGACACATCTCCATGGAGGAAATGAGAAATTGAATTCATCTGCATTTTGTTCATTACCATTTAAAAAATAAAAGTGTAGTTCATTCTCTCAGTGTAGGTGATAGCCAGCAGACAGGTGTTTGTCCTTTAGCCTATACTGTCACTGATAGAAATGGGATGGACAAATTAATAGAAACACAAGCACATACTGCTGCTGCCAAAGCTGTAAGAACACTTCTGTTAAACAATTTCAACAAAATCTGAACATTCTAACCTCCATCAAAGTCACTGTTTAAGACTGCATTAGCTTTAGCTTGGGGTACCTTATAAACTGGCAACTGAGTGTGTGTCTCTAAGTAAAGAAATATAAGCATAAATTCTATCTCAGCAATGTGAAGATGTAGTCATCTCATAGAGAGTTCCTCATGGGTGAGACAGTGACTTAAAGACTACACATTCAGGAAATGAAATCATGCACACTTTTCATACTGGTGCTAAGAGTGACTGTTCTAAGAGTCAGCTCTGTGCTGCTGCCTGTGCAGTGCAAACTCAGTGTAGCTGTTTGAGGCTTGTGACAGGAATGAAGGGGCTAGCTGTCTCATTGGCAGGGCCTCTTAGCGGGTCAAAGCTTGTCACATGTCAGCAGTATGAACACAAAGGATGCAAGTAATGAGAAAGGCACACAGATAATAAGATACAGTGAGGAGCAATAAAGTGAATAAATGTTACTCTTTATACAGAGCCATTTCCTCTGGCAATAGGGATGGACTGTGATCTTTTTCATGGTTCATGGGGGTATGGGACCACATCAGTTACCCCTCTGAGTAAAGTTTGCCAAAAAAACTCGATATGAACAGACTGATATTTTTTATGATCATCTTCTGTCTTTTAGGACTGGGAACTGGTCGTTCTGGGGAAATTGAAGTGGAACATGGCCTCCGTCATTCCGAATGATTTTATAGAGCACATCATACGTAGGCTCCCCCTCCCAAAAGACAAACTGGTGATGGTCCGCAAACACACACTGACATTCATCGCCCTCTGTGCCACAGGTAACACAGCTGCATGTTCTTTTCATATGTGTTTGCTCCCTCACACATTAACTTTGTTGCCTTGTTATTCCCACATTCACAAGAATATTCCCACACACACAAACATTCTCCCATCGTGAGTCATCTGTGACCTCCTTCTCTTAGCATACTGCTCTGGCTGCTGCTGTTCACTTTATATTCTCTCCACAGCCTGTAGCAGGGGTTTTCTCAACAGTAGACCATGTGCTGAAAGCTGCTTAGAATGGTTATTTCCATATTTCTCTGCAAAGTGCCTGAGAAAAGTCCTGTCATTGCTGTGTTTAGATTAGCCATGTATGCAGTTAATGATAGCGATTGTGCCATGCTATAACTTCTGCTCCAGCATACACACTGTGCCGTATGACCCAGGTGCAGCTGCATGATGCTGCCTGTATTGTTTGTTGACAGGGAAGCTTCCAGGTTTAAAAAGCCATCACAGTGAACCAATGATCTTCCTTCCTTCTCCCATCCCGGCTTCAGATCCAAAATAAACTTGAGAGACTCTGGAGAAGCACAAAAGCCAGATTTCCCCCTAGGCCTCTCTCTCTGTGTGAATTTTCATGGCATTCCTTTGCCTAAACTAGGAATCCCCCTATTATGTTCATATCCTGGATAGAAACACCACTACAGGATCACCTAATACGCAAAATATACAGCACTCGTATCTTACAAGACTGACTTTCATCTGCTGCCTCCTTTCAGCTGATTCAGTGAAGGAAATAAAATAAAGGAGGTCACTTTAGTGCAGTGAAATTTCTCACAATTGTCAGTGTATTAAGATCTGGCCAATAAACCGTTGCTTACTAGAGTTAGTTATTAGAACTATAGGCTCCTTCAGTGAGTTTCTTGCCCTGTTTAGCACAGTTTTACTGGCACTTTTATTTTATATAGGGTGCGTTTCAGTGGTTGCCTCTGCTTTCCATAAGCAGCTAGTTATATCCAAGCACAAAGCAGCTGCAGTGGAAAAAAGAGGCCTGCTGTGGTTGTGCAGTAATGTAAATGTTTGGAGTTTTATATGGAGTTGAGATGTTATTCCTATGATGGAGGAGCTCGTCCTATAGACAGCTGGCCCCTGGAGGAGAAGATGGGTGTAGTGAAGCAGGCTGCTCTCCAGGGTTTAAAGCTATCAGGCTGCCACCATGACTGGCCTGCACAGGGCTAGGAATATGAGTTGGGTTGGAGTTGTATAACACTAGAACAATTGTTTGTGCCAGTTCCCTGCCTTTGGAGATTAGTGTTGGTCATGTCCATGTGCTAAGACTGGAAGAAGCATGTGTGTTGTCATTCTGGAAAACCCACCATGGGATATATTCACAAAACATGCTAACACTAGAAGTAGCTCCTAACTGGCAGATTTAAGGAGTGTTTGAGGCCTAACTCTCGACAGTTTGGTTGGTGATTTGGGTGTATTATACCAGTAGCTACTAATATAGCCTGAACCCTCAAGTGAGGAGTGGGCTACAGGGGTCTATGATCACTTCTTTCTGACTCCGCATCTAGAGTTTTTTTTTATTTTTATTGTCAAACTTGTAGTCTTCAGACTCAACCTTGCATTTATCGGGCTAATTCATCACCCTCTGGAGTGACTTTCCTCACATATGCAGTACTACTCCCCAACACCTGTAAATAGACTTTGGAGTGCAAAATAGGTGGAGTTTCCCTTTAAGAATCCAGTCAATATACCAATAAATCAGTTCTATAACAATGATGATCTCCAATCAGTTGACAGTTGATTAGGTCAAACAAGCTACAACTAATACAGTCCTGCAGTAAATCTTCTCTTCATGAAGGTGATTGGTGATTTTGTCCACCCTTTTATATCAGTGAGTCTAGCTTAGGTAAATCTCCACTATGTGGACACTTGTCAAAAGCAGATTGAAGCGATGATGAACCACAGATGTGGTCATTAGATCCATATCTGTCTATCAATCTAGCTGTTCCTTACCCTCATCGATTTTATTTCACCTTCACTGACATGGATCGGTCACCTGTTAACCATTTACTGTACACATGGTGAGTAACTTCCTTCCTAAAACATGATGTCATTCATAGCGATGGTATCAACCGTGTCTGGGACTCTTCTGAGTTCTTTGCACAAGTTTCTATCAGTGGCTTTATGTAAAGATTTTATGAGGAAACTCCTTAGAGAACTTAAAGTGCATGTGGATATCAGGGGTAGTCGTTCTAGGTCTCAGCGAGTGGAAGGTTTCCTACTCTGCTTTTCTAATCAGTTCTATGAGGGAAACCACTCGGGTTCCATTGTAGAACTATTGAAATTCAGACTGTGGGAAAGCCAGGTTCAGCTATGGAGCATGCATATTGGGGATGATTCACACCTTGCACCTCCTTATTTATCTTTCATACTTCCTCTAGGCAGATTTAAGTGTTGCAGCTCTTGGTGGTTACAAACGTGATTTCAGGGTGATACTATGATCCAAAGCTGCTCCTTCACTAATTGCCCACAAATACTCCTTTTCCCCCACAGATGACCGTCTTGCCATGAACCCTCCTTCCATGATCGCCACTGGCAGCATGGGAGCTGCTATCTGTGGCCTGCAGCTGGACCACACTGACCAGAGGCTGAGTCGAGACAACCTGACAGACCTGCTGGCCAAGATCACCAACACAGAGATGGTGAGTAACATATCAAAAGAGACTCTTACCCACCACAAGTCATTACCCAATCCTTTTGGTCCTAAACAACAATGCATTGTTAATAATATTCATTGCAGAATCTCATTCTACAGCAGAGTAAAAGGCCTTTTAGTAAACAACGGACGTGACTTCAGTAGTGGCAGATTGAAGCCATTTACTTTTCATGGAGAGAGAGACAGAGCAAGCTTTTGAGTCTTGGCTGGGGAGCCAAACTTCTGCTATAAAGAGTAGCGGCATAGGGAATGTCTTCTTGAAACTCCAAGCCCACATTTTTGTGGTAGGACACATGCAGTTTTTTTGCATGACTCTCTCTTTAGCTGTGCACCCCTCCTGGTGGAGGAATATGCTTGTAATGAAGTGAAGGAGTGTCTTTTATAGTAAAGGTCAATGAAGAAACAGAAAATTAACCAGGATGTCCTCATGCAACAGTTTTGGACATTTTTAGATGTCATAAATATACTGTATGGAAAGTCATTCATTTTAATATATTGACTCAGTCATAGATATAGTAGAAGGGACTGGAGCTTTACTTGTAAAACACTCTGAGACCGAGATGTAAGAGCTACTGAAGCATGATTCCATTCAATCACCACTGAAAGTGAGATGCGAGTGGCACGTTGTGTGTGTTTGAAGTTGTCAGAACAGCTATCTGTGTGTGAGCAGGGCAGTGGTGGAACAAAGAGTCTGTTCCAGGCTGACCATCAAGAAAAGTGTACTGGACAAAAACAGTGTTCTTGCAAGATCATCAGGAAGACATTGCACTTTTATGTAGCCTATGGACTTACTGAGTTTCCCTGGCTGGTTACTGAGGGTGAAAGTGAAACTCAGGCAGCCTGATCAGTCACAATAGATTCCAGTAGAAAGAGAAAACAGGATTTGTGTGATTTTTTTTTTTTTTTTTTTTTTTTTAAAAATTTTCACTGTGGGGTTTACACTTACCAAAATGACAAAGACTGTGGAGATTACACTTCACTAAATGCAGCAGAGGGGAAAAAAATAGATATGAAATGTAAAAAAACTGCGTCTCACGAATTTAGTGTGGATTGACTAATTTGATATAATGGAATTCTATCTGTAGCGTGACACGGGCGTGACATGGGCATAGAAAATGCTTCCAAAAACATTTCCAGTGTGTTTTACCAGTTAGGCTCTAATGCATTATAGCATATATCTCAAACTGTAAATGTCATGATTTAATCAGTGTGCAATACTGTAATACTCTAGTATTTTAAAAACTTGACGGCTTTTGTACTGTGTACAGCTACTGTTATAGAGTGGGAGTGAATAGGCCTCCATAGACTTTATTTTATTAAATAAACTATTAAGAATGCATAAATTATAAATATCAATGATGTACAGTTATCAGTATGCAGTAGTATTTTGCTCCCTCACATGGAGTATTTTGAAATGTGCTGTGTTGTAAATACAGTGGACGTGAATGATCCTCCATTGACTTCAGAGCATTAGATAAGTTGTAAACTGGACCATGCCATCATAATTAGAATTTTTGCAGTTTATCAATGTGTAATGTTGAACATTTTGACATTTGAATGGAAGCAAAAAATACATTACAGTTTATCAAACCCTATTAAATTCCACTGTATTTACAAAAAGGGGCTTGTTTAAACTCACCATAAGCCACCATAATCTATTTTGACAATTCTAAATCATAGTAATTAAAAAGAGTACTGCATATGTAGGGCACAGTGTGTGTTTTGACTGCCACAGTATCAGTTCAGAAGCCTTGAAATCCAAAAAGGCCACAGGAACAGCACAGTTGCCTCTTAGCTTGTGGTTACATTGCCCTCATGACAAAGACCCAGACATCACACCAGGTGCTCTGGCTAGAGCCCATCAGGTTCCAATTATCCATGTTTCAAAGGAATGCTGGCCTCTTTGTGAGCTTCTTCAAGAGTCCTGCAGCCAGCTCAGCGAGGCAGACCTCCCACATCTTCAACACAGACCTACAGAGGGAAGGGAGGCACGGAATGGATCCCCTTTCACAAGAGATGTTGTCCAAAAACATCCGGTCCCACTGTCCTGTATTCTGGTTTACACTCAGACTCAGAGGTCAGGGTGTAGTAGGTCAAAGAAGTTTCCTTTAGACCTTCACATGGGACTGACCATGTTGCAAGGCCAAGGGGGAGGAGGAGGAAGGAGTCCACAGTTTCAGATCTGCTTATCTGTTGACTGATGGACCACAGATCTCCCTCCCTGGCATTTTTAATCATGCTTCATGCATAAGATTCCTGTACCTCGCTGCTCTGCATTGTGGTATTAGATTGTGCTGGCACCCATTGTTCTGGTCATAATGCAACAGATCCACCTACATCAAGACATAATTCCCTGATTATTGATTTACAACCATATAAATGGCATAAAAACTGGTTGTATTAAAACCAATTGACATATAAATAAACTGGAGTATAATTTTATTTCTTGCATTTTTTTTGCTGTATTTGTGTGTATGACTAGGGAAACTTTTTTTTACAACCTTGAATTGTTCTACAATAAGAAAGAAATTCACTTTCGGCTTTTAGGGGTCACCACAGCGAATCGTCACACTGACAACTCGCATGTTGACATTTGGCACGTGTTTTATGCTGGATATCCTTCCTGACGCAACCCTGATTTGAACCCGGGCCGCAGTGGCGAGAGCGCTGCGCCTTTAACCACTAACCTACCAGGGATGGCCGTTGAATTGTTCAAAATTATTATTACTAAAGAATTGCGAAATTGTATAAGCTTATGTTTTGTTTTGGGATTACGGGTTCCTGTCAGCTCTAAACTAAGGAGGAGTTTGTCTTGGACAAAATGATACCATGTACGTGTGGTAAGGACAGTTTAAAAGGTGCTAAACAAAGACAAAAATTGTACATACAAAGTCGGCAAAAAAATTCTCTAGAGGATTGTTTAGTGGATTTTCAATGATTAACTCGTCTTAACAGCATTTAAGCACCAACAGAAGTGTATTGTAAGTAACAACACCTTTCCCTTTTTGTTCCAGGACTGTTTGAGGGCATGTCAGGAGCAAATAGAGCGTGTGCTGGCCACTAGCTTGCAGCAGGGTCAGCAGTACCAGAAAGAGACCCGGGTCAGAGCGGGAAACAAAGTGAGGGAGCAGCAAGACCAGTCCAGCACCCCCACAGATGTACGCGATGTCAACTTATGAGCGCCCATCGCCATGTGACTCAACACACCATTCTGTCCCCAAATGAACAAACAGGAGTGAGTGAGGGCTGGCATGAACTGCCAGTTTTTACAGTATGTCAGGTCACTGCATAAGTGGTGTAGGATGCGCTCTGAACTTGTAAAAAAAATAAGAATTTTCTAGTTTTTTTTTTTTTTTTAATTGCTCCATTCCTACCCACTTGGGTGTACTTCACTGTACGGGCCACAGGTAATTTATTAAACTATTAAAAAAAACAAAGCAATTCTTGAAAACTTGATAGGTTTCCCACAGTGGAATCCTAAATATATTTCCATACTTGAAAACTAAAAGCATAATTATATGAAATATACAGAATTCTTTTGATACAGCATAGCAAAATAAATAAGATAAATGTATTTTAGCATTTAGTTATGTTACTCTTATCTTAAGCAACCTGTTAATGATTCACAGCTTTACTTGGGTTTTCTTAATCTGAGACTCCATATAGTAGTGATTGAAAAGCTGATAGTATAGTATGTTACAAGGCATTTATACCCAGGCTATATCCAGCTAGAGGAGCATTACTGTAGCTCTCTCTGTCTATATTACTGTGTGTGCCTGAAGTACCGCTTACTATTTATGCTGAACAGTGCTGGCCAGGAGTGGGCTGGACCTACTCACAGAGGAAGGACATGAGGTGGTTGAGAACTGGAGCAGTGGCTATTGTCTTGAGAAATTAAAAGAGAGGGCAAGGTCAGTTATTAAGGTCTTGATTTTGCTGCCAAATCCGTACGTCATTGTAGTATGTTAACAGGACTCTATGCATTTGAATTTAGCAAAGCTGCATCATCGTTGTTCTGTTTTTGGTGTAGCTCCTACATGTTAGAGAGCAGTTAAGTGTTTAGCAGTTAGTTGGGTGGGGGTGGGGGGGTTAGCCTCAGTCAGGTAGTGCTGATGTCATGTTGGTAAAAAACAAAAGGAGATTTAGTATGTTTTTACAGGTTTCAGTGGAAGCTAATTAAGATTGAAAGTTTTCTTGAGAGGTTTTTGGAAAAGCAAGGCATGTGGAAAGTATGTAAAAATGTTAGAGGTTTGGATTGATGAATGATAGTTAAACTGCAAGGAAGTTGCATTAAACTACAGTTTGTTATGTTTCCGCAGTTGCATGATTCTTGAGTTACACACAAGATGAGAAATCCCTGGTGATATCTGGGGGATCATTTTGGCTGTGCTGGAGTTTCTTTTATCATTTTTACCGTTTGACCTTTTGGAGAGGGCAACTTGATGCACTTTTAAAAACACTCCTTAAGATTGGTAAGGGGGTGGTGGTTGAGGAGAGTTTGGTAGGTTGTTAGGGTCATTTTGTAGTTTTCCTTTAAGTTATTTAACTTTTCTTCTGGGCTGGATTCCCATGGGGTGACAGATGTTGTCTTGAAAGCTATGCCCCAACTGATGAGTAGTAGACATAGGATGACTGCCAAGTCACATGTAGACTTTGATTTTCTGTTTTAGCTAGTGCATTTATTTACTTGAATTTTTGTTCAGTCATAGTCAAAACATTCCATAGTTTTTACCAAAGACTTAAATATAGTGGCCTAAACATTCTTCTTTCAATGTTTTGCTCTTTTTTTTTTTTTTTTTTGGTCTAAACTGCTTTAGTTATTAAATTACTAGTTTTGTGTTCTCTGTATTATAGACATGGGTAGGTTTTCATGGTGCGACTGTATATAAACCATTTCCCCATGAACAGAAATAATACATATCGTCATTAAATTTTAGAACAGAAGTAGTTGCTTTAAAAATTGTCATGCTTTTATAGTGTTTGTTTATAATTTGTAGGTTGTAATTCCAAAGTGCAAAAAATAGATTATCCAAAAAATTGTCTTGCTGCTATGAAGCTTTTCTTGTCTAGTTTATTGTGATTCACATGTGTGCTGCTATATTATGAAATTTTGTATATGGTCATCTTTGCTTTTGTTGTATGTTATGTGTACTAGAGGGAACGTGCGCTGCTGCGGGACTGGAAGTACTTGTGTTTGCCAATCTTTTTGATTAGCATGTTTTATTCCTTTATTGTTTTATTTGTATCTTTATATGCTCTCATATCCTTCCTTTGTTACCTCAGGTTAATTTGGACCCACAGTGCAAGAGCCCATCTCATCATTACCTCATCACACTTCGCATCACACATTATTTTCATTGAACGGGTTTTCCTTTCTGTCTGGATGAGAGGAAGTGTGGTGCTTCATCTATTATCAGATTTCACTGAGCACTTAAAAGTGCATGTACCAAAATAGTTAATTTAATATATCTGGTGCAAATCAATTTATACTGTATGTTATACACATACAGGAAAAAGAGGTTTTTTTCCCCTAGTTGGACTTTCAATGGCATGTTTTAATCAGTTCAATCATTGTTGAAGTTTAAGCCACAAGAATGTTTTATCACTGTTCAGTGTGGTTATTTTTCCAAACCCGTCTTCACCTATCCCTATGTACAACCACCCAGTGTACCTCAATAATTTCTTCTCAATAAATTGCCAAAAACATGTGGTTGGTTTGTCTTTTGTCTGGCTCTTTGCAGAATTATTTGTTTCAATGCACCTTTAATATAGTGAGATTTTACATTTTTGCTGGCACAAGAGGATGACTAAACCACTGAAAACATTGGCAAGTGATAAAACAAGTTTTCCAAATATATATAAATTACTATCCAGGCCTGCAACTGAAAGCCAAGAGTTTTGATATTAGATACAGAAATATAAACAAATATATATGAATATAAATTATTTTTGTTAACTTAAAATGAGCAAAACAAAGTCAAGGGCAGCAATGCAATAGTATCTTGTGTATTTTAAATGATAGTTTCATGATTTTACTAACAAACATTTTATTAGGACTTGATGCATGATGCAGATATAATTGAACATCAGTAGGACTGTTGAACATAGTTAATCCTATTTAAAACTTTTTAATAACTTTTTTCAATAGCTATACTATCTTCAAATGAATGTAAATGTTTGCTCTTATACAGTATATACAGTTATAGGGGATTTAAATCTCATGTAAAAAAAATCACAATATATAACAATTTGATACTAATAGCATTGTGTTTGAGCTATTACAGCAGCAACAAGAATTCAGATAGGCTATTAAAGATTTTCTTTACTTTTTATAGAATAAACATAAAATGAAAACATTAAAAACGTTAACTGATTTAGGTTAATTCTTACATTAATTTTTTCGTCGCGCTGCAATTCAATTTGATTTGCGTCCTGACGTACGAGAAAACGTCACGATTGCGGATGACCTAACAAGGAAGTAGCCAGAGCCCTACAGGTGAACATGCTCACGTTTAGTTTGACATTCATACGACAGTAAGTGGTTATTTACTTGCCTAAGTTTTCCATTATAGTTTTATAGCATTTAACAGCAGTGATTTGATACTGTTTATATATATATATATATATATATATACTACAGAAGCTGTCTTTCCTTCGAGATGAAGCTTTGCGATTGAATGTTTAGCTGAACGTTAACAGTGAACAGAAGCAATTAAGTTGGCCTAAGTAACGTCAACTTAAATATGTATATCGTGTTTCAGTGTTCTTAGCCAGCTGTAGGTTATATCTATGAACAGAGTTACTAGGCTGTCACTTGTAAAAATAGATTGATATGATCGATGACACTGCTGTCCTTTCACACAGTGGGGAAACACAGTACAACAGAGAAAAGCTACTGCAAGGTACGTTGACTTAATAAAATATTAAGTTAAAGCTGTAACTCGCTTTTCCCTCCTCCCACTTGATTTCAACTACACAGCCCTGCACGGCTTAAAATGGGGATGGTATAGTGTTAAAAGTATTCTTACACTAATTTGAAGCACGTGTTACACAGTGGTGGAACGTAACAAATTGAATTATCTCTGCATTGTACTCATGGATGGATTGCTGAATGGGCCTAACTTAACAGGCACAGGTCCAGGCCCCAGGGACCATTGAGCGACTGTTAACATTTCTTTTTGGAAAGACAGCCAAACACAAATTGACTCAAAAATACACAAAACAACCACAAAGACATGTAAAACAACCACAAATAGACACCAATGAGAAACATGGTAGGTAGGTACTTTATTCATCCCTCAATGGGGAAATTTCAGTGTTTCAGCAGCAATGGAGAACAAACAATATAACACCATGAGAAACAAACACCACACACATATCTTGATATAAAAAATTTCAGTACCTTAAGCAGCAATAGAGAACAGACAGCATAACACCACGAGAACAAGCACCACACACACATCCTGATAAATAAATTCCAAGTACTCAAAAATAGACAGAATCAAGTATTTGAATAATCAAGAACAGAATTTACATATGTCTGTATTAACCATGCATTTTAACCCAGGATTTGAGTATTGCACCTCAGTTGACTATTACATGGTCCCTCATACTTTCACCTAGCTTATCCCTGCAGTGATGTGTTGTACAGTCTGATTGCTGTGGGGAGGAACGACCTACGGTAACGCTCCTTCTTGGGGGATGTTACTGGGGATGTAACAGTCTTGTGCTAAAGGAACTGTTCAGAGCCTCTACTGTGTGGTGCAGGGGATGGGAGGGGTCGTGCATGATGGATGTTAGTTTTACCAGCATCCTTCTGTCCGCCACCTCCTCGATGGAATCCAGGGGGCAGCCCAGGACAGACCCAGCTCTCTTGACCAGCTTGTTTAGTCTCTTTCTGTCCCTGTCCGTGCTACCTCCCGTCCAGTCCACAACAACGTAAAAAACAGCAGATGCCACTACAGTATCATAAAAAGTCCAAAGGAGTGCCCCCCGCACACCAAAGGACCTCAGTCTCCTCAACAAGTGGAGGC